TTCCCTTTGCCATCATTTCATGGTCTCCATACAATTGTCCAGCTTCTAAAATTCAACTTCGTGCATGCCCTGACAGGAAACAGAGTGTTGTAAAGGCTGATATAAATATTTTGAATCATTTCTGGGACAGTCCTCCTTTTATAAATTAGTAAACTGATATTACAGTTTCCCCGTTAGATTTGGGAAAGTTCTGTTAACTGAGTCAATTCCCTTAATTTATTTGCATCTTGATGGAGTTAATAGCCAAGCCTTGGAAAATTGTGGGCCCAGACCCTGCACTCAGGGACTTTGCTCAGGTGAAGACAGCCTTCACTTCTCCGAGACAACCCATTTTGTCTACTGTCTTATGGCTAGCAGCAGCAATCACACAGCGTTCTGAAAGAATGATTATTTCCATTTTACAAAAGAATGGTTTGGACGAAGAATCCAATGCTTTCCAAGTGTGGCCCAAACCTGAAAGATTAACATCTTTCAAATTCTAGACTTTAAAAATCAAATAAATACAGCTAGCTCATTTTCCTCACTCCTGAGACATACAGTATCTAGGCAAGAATATTAATGAGGAAAAAACGATTCAGACGTTCAAAATACATGACCCTTATGGTGGGAACTACCTATACGTAGCCTAGGTATGTGCATGGTCTTCCTGTGGTCCATCTGTTTCCTTCATTCACTTCATACGCAAGTAGCCCTGATAAAGTGGGTTTCCAAGCAGGCTGTTCACTATGTTAAATAAAATTCTAAGGCACTCCTCTCACTCAAGTGATTCCTTAATATATATTCCTGTTTTAGTTCAAAGAGTAGCTCTTTAGGTGTACTTCAAAAAATTCTAGATAATAACACATTAATACATCATTAACAGGAACATTTGAAGAAAGACAAAAGGAAACTAAACAATGAAGATTCACATATAAAACAGCCAAACAGAAGGAAAGACTTGGAACAGATTTTCTGAACTTCGATTTTCTCACTCACTGCACGATATGCATCAAATTTTATCTGGAAACACTGTGTGTTCTGATATATTAACTAAAATATACACTCTGTGAGGATAGGTGTTTTGGTTTTTTTGTCTAGGGCTGTATCCCTAGCACTTGTGCAGTACATACTTGTTGAATAAATATCCCTTTATTCTAGCTGGCATTTACAGCAGAGGACTCCTGAGGTCTCTCTCAGGCACAGCATCAGTGAGTTTATCATAAACCAAACTCGTTTTCAGATTTTCAATGAAAAAACCAATTGAGTAGGAGCCTTGGCAAACAGCGGGGAGTGGGAAGAGCTGGTGAAAAGACAGCAGAACGGGTGGAGCAGAGGGGGAGAGGCAACACAAGAATGCTGCACCCATTCCTCCGGAGGAAATCTGATGGACTGATCGGGTGCTCTGTGGAAAGAGAAAAAGGACAGGGCCAAAAAGCACCCATATTCACTGTAGAACTGCAGCCATACCTTCCTACTTTTCCATCCTTTATTCTTCTCCACACATTCTCTTCCTCAAACAGGACTCTCTCTGGCCAATCTGTTCTTCCTAGGGTTCCTTTGCCATCATGAGTTAAGAAAACCTTGCTCAGCAATCCTTCCCACCCCTCTCATCTCCAGACTCAGCATCCGTCCTGGATGAAGACAGGAGAGGAAGCGGGCTCAGTGCTAGGCTGGTTTCTGCGGCTGCATCCCTGACTCCCTTTCTTAACTTCTACCAGGAAAGTCTCCAAAGTCTCATTCTATCCCGTCATGTGTACCGTCGTCATCTAATCAATTCTTATTCTCATCTTCTTTCCTACAAGTCTTATGAATACTGTTGAGACCAGTAAAATAGCTGCTTGCTTAGTTAGCATCCCTTAAACTTGAATATATTAAATATTTTTTACTTTTTTATTTTATTTCAAGTATAGAAAACTATAAACTAGAATTCAATGAGTACAATTTTTAACATTCTGCCATTTTCATTTCATATGTGATTATATGTTATTTACATCTGATGGGAAATTTTCAAAGCTGGACACAATCTAAATATTCTTCCTATTTCACACAGGAATCAAATTTACCTCATATGCTGTCAGAAATAAATGTTTAAAATAAATGAAAGCTTTGTGCTTGGAAATGACACACACTAAGTTTTTAACATATCATAATAAGGTAAAATCTGATATTTCAGCAAACTCCTAGATTTAGCATTAATTATGCTACAAAAACTTTCAATTTGGGAAATCTTTTCTAGGTCTTGATAGTAAGTATTAGAGTCATGAAGCTAACATATTTCTTCTCTAAGAAATGCACTGGGGCAGGCATTGGCAGAGGGATTAAGTTGCTACCCCTGCAACTCAAATCAGAGTGCCTAGATTTGAATCCTGGCTCCACTCCCGATTCGTTTCAAGCTGCTGTATACCCTGGGAGGCAACAGCTGATGGTTCAAGAGCTTGGTTCCCTGCCATCCATATGGGAGACCCGAACTGAATTCTGGGTTCTTGGCTTCAACCTGACCCAGCTCTGGCTGTTGGGGGATCTGGGCAGTAATCTAGCAATTGGGTCTCTCTTTGCCTCTTGGATAAGTCAATCAATTTTAGAAATTGAGTCAATGAATTTTACAGTAATGTAGAAATGATAAATATTAGAATTTTCTCTCAATAAGAAGATACTGGCCTGTGCCACTGTCCTGAGCCATAAAACCTTGTACTCAATGTGTTCTTTCATTTTTTCCCTGTTTGTTCATTGTTATAACCCTAACCTCCCATTCAGCTAAATGAATGAGCAAATATTAACTATGTACTCTTTTTATTTTTTTATTTTTTGACAGGCAGAGTGGACAGTGAGAGAGAGAGAGAGAAAGGTCTTCCTTTGCCGTTGGTTCACCCTCCAATGGCCGCCGCGGCCGGCGCGCTGCGGCCAGCTTAATTAACTATGTACTCTTACAGCCTGGGTCTATAAGATCTTACTATCATTGAAGTCACATTATAGGACAGACATTAAACAAAAATTATGCAAGTTAACTATTTAACTACACTTGTGATAACAGCTGTAAGGGAAAGTTATAGAGTAAATGAAAAACAGGATCTAAGATTGTTTGAAAGATCCAGATAGATTCTTCTGAAGGATAGACATTTAAGCTGACATCTGAAAAAAAAGACAGGATTTAGGGAAGGGAGGAGTGCAAAAGGAAACCATACCCTGTAGTAGCCATGCAGAGATTCTAAGGAAGCTGGGCGCACATTGTCTTCTGAGAATGAAAGATCAGAGGGACTAGAGAGAATAGTTTAAGATGAGGCTGGAGAGAGGGCACAGCTCAGATTACAGGCGAGGTTTATAAATTCTTAAAATTTCCCTTTTCCCTGATGGTTCAACATCCCTACAAATAGGCTGTGAACAGTCCACCCAGGCAGCAAGATGGCAGCACTGTGGTAAGGCTGGTCTCTGCCCTAAGTTCCCCCTTTTACCATCTTGCGACCTAGTGACATCCAAACATACCATTGAAAGCCTCTCACACCCTTGCTTGTGTACTCCTCTGTGACCCCCCAGTAAAGATGGTCCTCCCCGCATCTGCTCCCCACTGTCTGGTTGAACCCACGGTCTGGAAGTTCCTCCCATAGGGTGTTCTCTGTGGCATGTGGGGTCTCCCTCACAACCAGAGGTGACATGAAGGAGAGTGTGCCTAAACACACCTAACTGAAGTAAGCCAGCCTCACCTTCCACTAGTTCCCCCATGCATTCCATAGTCACTTCCCCAGGATTTATTGTCCCTTGAAGCCCAAACTCCATTTAATTAAAAAGGTATATGAGCCCCAGCCTAATTGCCTCTTTCATTTGAACACTTCTATGAACCCCCATGCATGTAAGTTTTCTTTTCTCCTGCTAATGAGTCACTCATTAGCTTAACCCGAGGGCTCCCTTTGGATTACATGGACATCAGAAAAGTTTTTCCTCCCCAACAAAGGCCTTGTAAACCATGTTAAGGATTTTGGACTACATACAAAGCAATGGGATCTAAAGTGTGACAATCAGGTTTACATTTTAAAAACATCACTCTGGCTGCTGGGAGGAGAAAGGACTGAAGGGGAACAGGAGGGAGCACCAAGACCAACATGGAGAGCACACAGTACTCTCAGACAGACAGGGAGAAGCAGGTGGGTTCAAGATCTATTAAGGATATGTATTTCTGAACATGGTGACTGAGTACAGGAGATGACAGAGTTCGAAGGTATGATACGTGATATAAGAAACATCAATATATTAGGACAACCACTCTTGCAAGAGTTCAGAAATCCCACCAGAGCAACTTTAATGCCTTCTAAGGGCAGCTCCCCAGTGACATAAAGACCTTCCACTAGGTCCCACCTCTTGGAGGGACATCATCTCACACACCACTCTGGGGACCAACCTCTTAGAGGGACCATCATTTCACACATCACTCTGGGGACCAACCTTTCAAAACATAAGCCTTTGGAGGACATACTCATAGCAAGATTCCACACATTATGTAACCAAGAAAAATGAAAGATCTAGAAATTAAACTGAAACACAATTTAAAGCTATACTAACCAAATTTATTTCTACAAAAGTAAATCTGTTCTTATCATGAAGGGCAGGTATTTATCATCCTTCTTCTTCAGAAACTAAAGAACCGTGATCTAGAAACAAATTCCACAGTGTGACAATGTGGAAATCACTACTGAGACACCAGCACAAACACGCTTCTCATCTGGGGATTTAGCTCAGCCTGGAATCAAGTATTTTACCATGTAAGGCGGCGTACAGAGCTTTCTATTTAGATCTGCTGCCATTATCAGAGTCCTGTGATTTATTAGTTATTGATTATAACCATTGTTATAGAGATCAGATACTTTATAGCTGAAACATTTAAAAATCAAGAAGTATCAAGTCAAAAACATCTTTCCTACTATGAAATTACCAAAAATGTTGGCAGCACTCACCTTAAGACGACTTACCACCCACTAAAAATAAAATACAATTTTCGACAGCTACATTAATTCTTTTAATAACTTTTAAAATCTGTATTTCAAAACGTTTATTTCATATGGGTCCAGTTTTCATGATTCTCTTAATGTTTCAGCCAGAATTACAAGCATTTGAAATTAAATTTTGAGTAAGAATTACAGCTTATGCAACAGGAATATTAGAAAGTGTCCTCATCATGATCATGCACAGACTTTGATCTGGGTCGCCTCAGCACACCCTGAGGAAACACCAAACACCAAAAGAACGTGTATATTTTTGTAATATTCACTACTGCATCACACAAAAAATTGGAATGTATTGCAAATTACTAATGTTATTAATAATAAGCAAATATTTAATTAAATAATGCTAATTTTCTCCAGGAAATAGTTTCCATGTGGCTACTGAGTATACTAGAAATTTACATTAACTATATTCAAATAGAACTTCAGTTTAGGTAATTTTTAGATCACAATTACATAAAATATGTCCAAATCCCACTGGTTTCTTCTTAACAGTCTGATAAAGCTGGAACTAATATACTAATTTATTTTGGTGGTCATTTCTCTATGCTGATTAAAAAATCATGCAAAACTGAACGAAAGCCATATAGTGATTCTGTAGTTTGTGATAATCTGAGAGTTTAAAGATAAATGCATTTTTAGGGATTAGCACTGTGCAAACTTAGCTATCAATGTGAACCCTTTCAAGGTTTCCTCTGGTCACCCAGCATAATTTTGGTTCCTTTCTTGTTGTAAGTGGGTAGAGGTCAAGAAATACCTAAGCAAACACACAGAGAAATGATTTCTGTACAGAGCTTCGCTTTTTATTAGCAGCTCCTGTTGTTTTCCTCACGTCTGAGTGCCGAGGAACAGACAGGTGTGTTTCCAGGCAAGGCTTCAAGGAAGCAGCCAGCATAGCAGTGGTCCTCAGGATCTCCACCCAAAAAACGCTTAGGTAAACACTAACGAAACATTCGGCACCTCAGTTCCACCAGTATTTCTCTGCTTGAAAGATCTTTTAAATAAAAAGGCTGCCTCTTTATTGTTTTATTTTTCTAGGACTCTAAGGAACCGAGAAGCCACAGCATTTCCTCAACTTATATCATACACTTTGTAAGAATATTAGAAGTTAAATAAAATCATTAAAAGCCCTGCTCTTTTTCCCTGGCCTCTTGCTAGGAAGGGGTTTGCTGTATCCCCGACGACCATGCGCTCTAGGCTTCCTGGCCTGGATGCTCTTCCACGTGGCTGGTTCCTGGTGCTCGGTATGAACCCCCATTCACCTCTCTCTCTCTTAAATAAAGCTCTCACTCTCCTATGCATCTTTCTCACTAAATAAAAGCTTAAAATGTAAAAAAAAAATCATTAAAAGCCAAGTTAAAATATGACTTAATAAAGCCTTTTATTATCTAAAATTCAATAAACACACTTGGTAACTACTAAAACAGCTACATTTGCAAAGTTTGCACAATGAAACAAATGATACTGTAATGGTGAGTACATGTCATTATATATTTGTCAAAACTCACAGAATATACACCAAGAAGAAACCTCACCCTTACTGTAAACCACAGACTTTGGGTGATGATGACGTGACACTGTTGATTTTTTTTTTTTTTTTTGACAGGCAGAGTGGACAGTGAGAGAGAGAGACAGAGAGAAAGGTCTTCCTTTGCCGTTGGTTCACCCTCCAATGGCCGCCACGGCCAGCGCGCTGTGGCCGGTGCATCGCGCTGATCAGATGGCAGGAGCCAGGTACCTATCCTGGTCTCCCATGGGGTGCAGGGCCCAAGTACTTGGGCCATCCTCCACTGTACTCCCTGGCCACAGCAGAGAGCTGGCCTGGAAGAGGGACAACCGGGACAGAATCCGGCGCCCCGACCGGGACTAGAACCTGTGTGCCTGTGTGCCAGCGCCGCAAGGCAGAGGATTAGCCTAGTGAGCCGCGGCGCCGGCGACGCTGTTGATTTTAACAAATGTATGATTCTGGTGCAAGACGTTGATAGCACGGGAGGCTGTTGAGTATAGGGAAAGTGGGTAAATAAGAAATCTCTGTACCTTCCTTTAAATTTACCTGTGAACCTTAAACAGCTCTAAAAATGTCTAAAAAAAAAAAAAAAAACCAAACAGCTAAATAAAATAGCTAAATAACTGTATCTGTGCTAGATTCAAAATACTACCACACAAAACAGATTTCTCTTAAAAGACCAATATGCCGTTTTTCACAAATCTAAGCAAATTATGATGCCGCTTCTTGCCCTTTTGGCTACGATCATATATAAAAACATTATGTCAAAATGCATAGTGGCAGCCCCACTAGCATCATAAAATCTAGGCAACAGAAGCAAAGGGGGTGTAAAATATGCACATTTTGTAGCTTGAGGAGATGGTACCTAGGAAAAAAGAGACCTATGGGTTTATCTGGGAAATTTTTAATGAAAGACACAGAACATAGGAAATGAAATGAAAAAGTATGCTTATAACAAGGTATATTTCTGGCTTAAAATATCACCATCTCTTAGCATGGATGGGACTAAGAAAGAAAAGCGGAAGACTGAGAACCCTGAGTACCTGGTCTGCTTATTAGCAAAAATATTCTTTTTGGCCCCACCTTTTACGGTCAGTTAAGCTGAAGTTATTCCCATATACTGAGGACTAGTAAGTACCTGAAAGAAGACTACAAAAGAAAATATTTGTTACACAGTGTCTGCGCGTATGGCTATGGAGACAGTGTGGAAAATAATCTAATATGGATTACAGAACAAGTCATTTACATGTTAAAAACTAAAAACAAGGAAGTGATTATCACAAAATATTGAACTTGCCACTTAAGCTCATTAACTTATGCTAAGTAGGAGAGACCATATGGATTATACTCTTATTTCAACTCCAAATAAAAAATATTTGAGGGAAAAAAAACAGCAACATGTGTGTATTCCAGGTCTCTAATTAAGCTTCAACCTTCTGATGTTTTCATTTATACTTGCCAAAATGCAGTTTTCTATTCCTGAAGTTTCTTGGTGATAAATAGCTTACTGAGTGGCAACATAATGCCTATAAATAAAAAAATTATAAACACATAGCACAAACTTCCCCAAATAGAGAAGATAGTTAAAATGGTTCAATTCATTTTTGCTGAGAGGAAAAAATATAGCAAGAAGTAAACAGCAGAGCCAAGATCTAATCCACAATGCCTAGCACTGAAATAGCTGTGAAATCTTCTAAGGGTCTGATAACACTAACAGACTTGATAGACTATGTTTTCAGTATTTAGGTAAAGCTTAAAAAACAAAAGCAAAAGCAGAGTGGAGAAATAATTATCTGTGATTGACATTCTCACAGGTTTTATAATTTAGTTTACCTAACACTACCCTTTTTATTTTATTGTCTGTTTCTGCACCATTTGAGAACATTTTCTTCACTTTGGCTATCTGATAAAATTTATTATGCCTTTTATATAGCTTCTGTCAGATCCATTATATACGACAATTAAGTCTTTCATAAATAAATTGAACAAATGTATTGAAATGTCTCCTCTTATTGGTAGCAAACTGAAATCATGTCTTCTAAAAGAATGTCAAGTTCTTCACCACATTAATATATGAAATCTTCAGGACGGATTTAACTTGTGCCACTTGATAACAACCTTTTCAGGATTTATGATTGTTTCTTTCCACTGGTTCACAGCTTCAATGTTATTACTGTCTTCACTTATCCAAATCTGTTAAAAAAAAAAAACAACAAACCACAGTACACTCATTGCGCCTGACACAGTGATGGTAACTGAGTTCAGTACATCTTGATGAAAGACATTTGGAAGCTTACATAGTTGCAATTGCATATCTTTTCATCTTTCCAAAAGCTAATTTCTTTGACTCTTACATATCAAAACATTTAACCTGCTTAGTCATTCTGAAGACTACTTTAAATGATACAATTTAAAAATTCAAGGTGAGATATTACAAAATCACTGTCCCTGGAACAGTTATTAGTATCATTTCTAACTCAATAATTCTAGGTAATCAACTTAAAACTGATCCTGATGTGGATCAATTTTAGTCAAAAACATTTTGTGAAGATGGGCTAAACCAATACTAATCATGATTTAAATTAGATTGGTAAAGAATGTGTATTTTAAGCTTTTACATTAAATCTATAACCTTAAGTCATTCTTGAGCCATAGTATTTAATAATATCTATCATTTATAAACTTTAGATATTACCTTTTAAAACAGAATAAAGTAAATTTGACATTCAAAGCCTTAAGAAATTTGATATAAACACTTATTGTCCCCTTCTTCCACATGGAAGGAGTTAATAGTACTAAAAAACTGATCTTTCTTATAATGTTGAAAAGCTCAAAAAAAGACTAATTAAAGATAAACCTGATTGCTCAGAAATCCCACCTATTTGTATGAAAGCAAAAACTCTGACCGGGTTTAATAATTCTGGAAAACATTTAATTTTAAACTTACAATGCTGAAGAATTATGTTAATCATCTTCAATCTTTTCCTGTATTTGCTTTGTTAACAACTGTTTAAATGCACAGAAAAACACAAGGAAGGAATTCAAAACAAAAACTCCACACTAACCTGGCCCACAAAGTGTTTTCTTCTTACAGAGCTTCGACTATAAAGCTTAATGAGAAAAACAATGTCTTTTTCATTCTGTATAAGTGGAAAAATCATAGTTTCTCCCCATTTTACTCTTCCACTAGAGGCCTTCAGTAAGCGTGTTTTCTTCTTATAAATCAACTCTCCAGAGCTAAACATTCCCACTTTCACAAAAAAACCTAAAAACAAGAAATTTTGATTTATAAAATTTTATTAAAATACCATATGAATGTATATCTATTTATTGTAAAAATACAAGTAAGCCGCTTTTAAAGGTTTGCTGAGCTAGTAACAGAAAACATCTCTACTCAACTTGCACCACAACTATAAATAACTACTATAGTCTCAAATGAATTTAACCTTCCTCCGGCTTGAGTGCCACTGAAGACCAGAATTGTAAGCATACAGAACAGCCAGCAGCAAAGGGGTACACGTTGAAGAGGGCTACACAGTGAGGTGCCAACTCTTTAGATGGCTAGAGAGAGTTATTTCTCACCTGTACACAGGTAAAATTCTTTGCTTGGGACACTGGCACTTAGGCATATGCCCACTAGAGAAAATTTATTCCTTTAATAAATTTGAAATGCAGAGCTTCCAATAACGGTATACTAGCTTGTGTGAACTAAACTTTCATAGCTAACAATGACAAACTTTAAAAATATAAAAATACGGCACTGGCGCTGTGGCGTAGTAGGGTAAGCCTCTGCCTGCGGTGCTGGCATCCCACATGGGTGCCATTAGAGTCTGGGCTGCTCCACTTCCCATCCAGCTCCCTGCTAATGGCCTGGAAAGCAGAGGAAGACGGCCCAAGTGCTTGGGCCCCTGCACCCACACAGGAGATTGAGAAGCTCCTGGCTTTTTGAAATAGCCCAACTCCAGCCGTTGTGACCGTTTGGGGAGTGAACCAGAGGACAGAAGATCTCTGTCCCTCCCTCTCTCTGTAACTCTCTCAAATAAATAAATAAATCTTTAAAAAACACTAAAGACTGACCAAAAGTGAAAAGAAATGGTAAGGGAGTCAATTCTATTTATTTATTTCTGACAGGCAGAAACACAGAGATTCCCCATCCACTGATTCATTCTACAAACACTTGCAGTAGCCAGGGATAGGCCAGGCCAAAGCTGTGAACCAGGAACTCTACCTGGGTCTCCCACATGGGTGGCAGGTATCCCTACCTTCTGGCACATCAGCAGGAAGCTGGAATTGGGAGCAGAGCCAGGACATGAACCCAGGAACTCCACTATGGGATAAGGGTGTCCCAAGGATCATCTTCAAAACCATACCACTCACTCACCTGGAAGTCAATTCTGAATGACAGGAACTGCACTTGGTGGAATGCAGGTTTCTACAGCTTCTCAGCCAAGCGACCCCTAACCTCTCCCCTGCTGCCAAATGTGACTGGCACAGGATATTTTTCAAGCAGAAAGTGCAGTCTGGTTGACTTGAGGAGTCAGGTGACTGAGCTGAGGCTGTCAAGGTAGCAAGAAGGTGAGGAAGGGACTCCCAGAAAGGAGGGGGCCACAAAGTGATGACTATGATCTTTATAAATTCAATTTATAAAGCAGAGATCATTGGAAATCCTGATTCACTGCTTTGATTAAGGGAAGCCATCTGTTAATGTAACAAATTGCATCTATAAATTTCTACTGTTTGTCCTTGTTTCCCACAGTCAACTGTAGGTAGTCCTGGGGATTTATTCCAAGGTGTATTTTTTGTGTTTAAGGTTTTCTCATCTATGTATGTATGTGATGTCAGTCTATAATGAACACGTATTGTTCTGTAATGATGTCAACAATATGCTAATTTTACAAATTGCTTTTAAAAATCACACTTTAGAACAGTTCATATAGAATGTGAATTGTGCATTCCTTGAAAGTTTGGTAGAATCTGCCAGTAAAATCATCTCAGCTTAGTGCTTTTATTAGAGGCAATTCTTTATATTTTCATGGTTATTCTTTAATTAATATTATTTATCTTCTTGAGTGAATTTCTTCTTTAGATTTATTTATTTACTTGAAAGTCAGTGTTACAGAGATGGAAAGACAGATGGAGAGATCTTGTGTCTACTGGCATACTCCCCAGTTGACAGCAACAGCCAGGGCTGGGCCAGGCCAAAGCTAGGAGCTTCTTCCAGGTCTTCCACAAGGGCAGCAGGAGCCCAAGCTGCTTTTCCCAGGCCATTAGCAATGAGTTGGACTGGAAGCAGAACAGCCAGGACACTAACCGGAGCCCACACGGGATGCCAGCACTGTAGGTGGTGGCTTTTACCCACTATACCACTACATTGGCCCTGAGTGAATTTTTTATGATTTATTTTGAATAGATATCGGAAGAAACTCAGGTGGTGATACATGTTATTATCTTATTACCAAACATCTTCTGAATTTGAAAGTATACACTTTTCTTTGTTCAGAGTATCATTCATATTTTTTTCTTGCTTATTAATCCAAACTACTACAAATTTATCTTGGTCCTCTCAAAGAAAAAGTTTTTGGTTTTATGGATTATGTCTTTTGTCTTGGTCTCCATATTTATCAACTTCAACTATAGCTCTAATAACCTACTTCACCTTTCCTCATGTTTGCTGTTTTCCAGCTTCTTGAACGATCAGCTCATCTATTTTCAGTCTTTCTAGTTAGAGTGGATATAAACTGCTCTTGCCTGTCCCCAGACAGTTCCCTTCTTTTAGTACAAAAAGGAGCATTCCTATCCTACTCTTAACCCTTAAGGTACGCCTGAACTCAAATCTCCAGTTCTAGGTGTCCACACGAACCAGGTCTACACAACCAAAGTATCACAACCCCTGGTTGTGCCCAAAGGCCAAGGAAGTGAAAAGTGTAGCTTTATTTTTGTTATTTTGGGTTTTTAAAAATTAAGTTTCTGGTTAGCAGAGCACCCAGCAAAGGGCTTAGACAGAGAAAGAACAGAGATTGAGGCTGGTGAGACAAAGCTGAGAGTACTCTGGGCACTCAACCTGTATGAAATGATGAACTAAATATACAGGTTACAACTGAATAAGAATCAATAGACAAGCAGTTAAGATACACACAATGGCTAAAATTAGAAATCTAATAAAGTAACTTTACATTAAAGTTAATATTTAAGTTAAACAATAAAAATAAGATTTTAATCTCCATTCTAAGAAATGTAGGAAAACCAGCCGGCGCCGCAGCTCACTAGGCTAATCCTCTGCCTTGCGGTGCCGGCACACCGGGTTCTAGTCCCAGTAGGGGCGCTAGATTCTGTCCTGGTTGCCCCTCTTCCAGGCCAGCTCTCTGCTGTGGCCAGGGAGTGCAGTGGAGGATGGCCCAAGTGCTTGGGCCCTGCACCCCATGGGAGACCAGGATGAGTACCTGGCTCCTGCCATCGGATCAGCGCGGAGCACTCGCCGCAGTGTGCCGGCCGCGGTGGCCATTGGAGGGTGAACCAACGGCAAAAGGAAGACCTTCCTCTGTCTCTCTCTCTCACTGTCCACTCTGCCTGTCAAAAAAAAAAAAAATGTAGAAATGTAGGAAAACCTTTTTATCACTAACACTCTCTAAAGATCTCACTTCGCACCACAGGTGTACTTACTCAAAGTTAGAGGAGTGGATGAGCTGGGAAGGTACTGTGCCTCAAGAATTTGCAACTGAATCCTGCTATTTACTGCTTGAAAACAAGTCCCCAGTTGAAGTTCTGCATGGCAAACCTGAATATCAAAAAAGTGTCATTTGGTAATTAATAAAGTTTTGGGATATTTCAAACATTGAAAAATAAAGAGCTAAGCTTAGATAGTCTTGAAGCATTGCTTTTCATTGTCACCTGAAGTCATAAGGGAAAGTTGAGAAGACAAACGCAGGGTGGGTATCTGGCTGCACCCTTTGAGATGTCACGTGGGAGGCCAGCACCGTGGTGCAGTAGGTTAATCCGCTGCCTGCGGTGGCAGCATCCCATATGGGTGCTGGTTCTAGTCCTGGCTGCTCCTCTTCCAATCCAGCTCCCTGCTACGGCCTGGGAAAACAGTGGAAGATGGCTCAAGTCCTTGGGCCCCTGCATCTGTGTGGGAGACCAGAAGCAGCTCCTAGCTCCTGGCTTCGGATAAGCGCATCTCCAGCTGTTGTGGCCATTTGAGGAGTGAACCAATGGACAGAAGACCTTTCTCTCTGTCTCTCCTCTCACTGTCTGTAACTCGACCTCTCAAATAAATAAATAAACCTTAAAAAAAAAAATGTCACTTGGGACACCCACATCCTTTTCCAAATGCACATCCTGGAAGGCTGCAGGTGATGGCTCAGGTAGCTGGGCCCTTTCACCCACAGGGGAGAGGATCCCAGGCTTCAGCTTGGCCCAGCCCTGGCTGCTTAGGTTTCTGGGGAGTAAACCAGCAAATGGGAGATCTCTTTCAAATAAATATTTCTAAAAAGTACATAAATATCATAGATTCCAAAAATCTGAGGTGCTTCACCTTCATTGATTATGAAAATAAAAGTTACACATACACACTGAACCTTCAAAATCAGTGACACCAAAAGTCAATTTAAGTTAGAAACAAATAAAATTTCTAAGTAGTGTTGCTGGAGAAAATGCCAGTGAAATTAACCCAAAGGAATTTGCTTTCAAATAAGTAAGCACAGCCAAGTGCATTATTTTTAAGAACACACGGAATGATAAAAATGTTATAAATCAGCATCGCTATTTCTTCTAATCACAGAAGTAAGAGCAGGTGCTACCAAAGCCAGCAGGTGGATTCGAGGGTTACCATTTGGATCACGTGTTGAATGGAGCAAGCTGAAGAAAGCAGCAAGAAGATGTTCACCACAATCACGAGGCAACAAACAAAGCAGAGAAGGCCAAACAACCTGAGGCAGTCGGTAGAATAAAGGAGACAGAGAGCCCGAGAAATCATTAAAATGTGCTCTTCAGTACTGCTGCCCTATCGCAGAAGACGGCTATTTTGTCTGTGAAATACAACACAAGCCAGCCTACTTATGTGGATTCCAAGGATCTTGGAACGCAAATAAAAGCAACAAAAAGTTGTCCAAGTACAAAAACATTACTGTTGATGTGTTGAAAAGCGTAAGAATGGGAATAAAACAAGAACATATTGTTTACATATCTTACTAAGTGAGGCTCACTATGGATGAACAAAGAAGTCTTTTCTGGTAGTGATTCTAATAAAATCATAAAACAAATGAATGACTTTCTGGAGAGGTTTATATTTGTTAAGTACCCAGTATTCCCCAATAATCAGCTCATAGTTCACTGAAAAACTTTTTTATTTTTTGACAGGCAGAGTGGACAGTGAGAGAGACAGAGAGAAAGGTCTTTCTTTTCCATTGGTTCACCCCCCCAAATGGCTGCCGTGCTGCACCAATCCGAAGCCAGGAGCCAGGTGCTTCTCCTGGTCTCCCATGCGGGTGCAGGACCCAAGCACTTGGGCCATCCTCCACTGCACTCCCAGGCCACAGCAGAGAGCTGGCCTGGAAGAGGAGCAACAGGGACAGAATCCAGCTCCCCAACCAGGATTAGAACCCCGTGTGCCGGCGCCGCAGGTGGAGGATTAGCCAAGTGTGCCATGGCGCTCACCCTGAGAAACACTTTTTTTAAAAAAAAGATTTATTTGACAGAGTTACAGAGACAGAAGGGAGGAGGGAGAGCAAGAGGAGGAGAGGGAAAAGGAGGGAAAGGGAGAGAGAGGGAGAGGGAGGGAGAGGGAGAAAGGGAGGGGGAGAGAGGGAGAGATTGATTTTCCATTTGCTGGTTCACTCCACAAATAGTCACAATGGCCAGGACTGGGCCAGGCAGAAGCCAGGAGCTTCTTCTGGGTCTCCCATGTGGATGCAGGAGGCCAAGGACTTGGGCCATCTTCTGCAGCTTTCCCAGGTGCTTTAACAGGGAACTGGATTGGAAGTGGAGCAGCTGGGACTCACATGGGATGAGTGCCTATAAGGATGCAGGCGTTGCAGGCGGTGGCTTAACCCACTACGCCACAGTGCCAGCCCCATTAACATATAATTTTCTGTTTTAAAATTCATCATGGAGACAGATAATAAATGGTGAATTGCTTAAAAAGTAGAAACTTAACTGTTGAGGTTAATTTTCCCTTGAAAAAGTCTAAAATGATGTTAAAATTTGTTTACTTTGGCAAAAACTGCTACTTCTAAATCTAAGTGAATTTACTGCTTTGGTCTTAATCAGAATGAGAATGGGTTAATAATTCATTTCACATGAACTAATGTGGTATCCATATACAAAATAAAATCTTTGCTGATTAAAAAAAAGTTCCTGTTCTTTTGAAAAAAGTTCCTTCTTGTTTACAAAACACAAAAGAAACCATGAATGACAATCTTTCATTTTCTTCATTACGGTTCTGTACTCATAACTCACTTATGGAAACATATGAAGGAGGCACAACTGTAGAGTTCACTCTCATAAAACAGAGCAGCATGTCACAATGCATTTTTCACTTCCTCCTTGTCAGTTTATATTCCAGAACATTAATTCAGATCATGAAAAAACTATTCAAAGTGGCTTTCTTATAACAACCAAAACATTAAAATTCCTACTAGTTAGCAGGAATGCGATGACTGTATCTAACAAGCACAAAACTGTAGGCAGATATAAGATAGGTTCACTGTGCCTGAATAATGTGCCTTTTTTTTTTTTTTTTAAAGAAAAAGAAACTTTATTAGCTTTCCTGGAATCACCAACAATGAAATGTTAAGCATCATTAGAGAAAACCACAGTCTGGTGATGCTTAAGATGCTCCCATGAATGAAGAAAATGTCCACATACACACTGGAATAACACTCAGCCATTAAAAGGAATGAAGTCTCGTCATTCACGACAATATGGATCAAACTGGAGGTCATTATGTTAAGTGAAATAAGCCAAGCACACGAAGACAAGCACCATATGATCCTACCCCATGTGGAGCCAAAAAATAGGTAATCTCTTAGAAGTTAAAAGTATAACAGTGGTTACAAGAAAGGTTGATTAAGTGGTACTAAGTTATACTTAGATAGGAGTAAGAAACTCTGGGATTCTATTGCACACTAGAGTGACTACAGATAATGTTGATGTATTGTGTATTTCTTTATTTTAAAAAATACAACTAGGAGAAGGCATTGGCCGAGTGGTTAAAATGCCAGTTGGGGTACTCATATCCCATACGCACCTCGGAGGCAGCAAATGATGGCTCAGGTAGTTGGGATCCTGCCGTTCTTGTGGGAGACCCGGCTGAAGCAGCAAATGATGTCTCAAGTAGCTGGGTTCCTGCCGTTCATGTGGGAGACCTGGCTTGCATTCCTGGCTCTTTCTGCAGCCTGGCCCAGACTTAGTTACTGCAGGCGTTTGTGAAGGGAACCAGTGGATGAGATCTCCCTCCCTTCTCTTGCCTCACACACCCCTACAGTTGTCTAATTCCCTCTGTCCTCAAGTGAATAATTCTGTTAAAAAACTTTAAAAAAATGACTAAATTGTATATATGCTCATAAATTGGTTGGGATGAAGTGTTTACAGCTGATGTTTTTGTAAAAAGCTTCATTACCTACAGTGCTGACTGATTTATGAGACCTGATATTTGTTTCTCTGAATCAGCCAGCTGAACACTGGCTTTAAATTGCTTATGAATTCCTAATAATTATATAGTTTCCATGTCAGAATAACATTTATAGTAATCTGTCATAAACTTTGATAAGGTCAAACCTGTATGTGACAATAAACTTACACAGGATTTATATTTTACCCATTTAGAAAATTTTACCTATTACAACAATAGCTGACAAAGATTTACCTTACCACTTGCTCAACACTGAGCGATCTGTTGTTCACACCAGGCCTGGGAGCCTGTGTTCTTTCCACGCCTGTTGTGGAGATAAGAGACTGAAGCACCTAAGTTCACACAGTCTAGTAGTCAGGGAATTAGGATTTGGGCAAAAATATCCTAGTTCCAGAGTCAGCTGTCTTACCCTACCACATATTGCCTCCCCAAGAAGATACTCTTTTTAAAAAATCATTAGAAATATATTTGATACATAAAAATTATACATTTATAGGATACTATATGATGGTTCAATACATGTATACATTGTGTAATGTACAGAATGAATATATCTCCTAAAACATTTAACATTTCTTTAGATGAAAACTTTCAAGATTATATCTTCTGGTTTTTGTTTAATCAGATTTTAATTAATTAGAGTGTTCCCTATCATCCACCTGTTCAATTCCCAACTGCTCTTCTGACCAGGGCTGGGTCACACAGGAGCCAGGAGCTGGGGATCCAATCCAGGACTCCCACATGGATGGCAGGAACCAAGTACCTGAGCTGTCATTCTGTCCCTCAGGGTCTGCACTGGCAGCAGAAAGCTGGACTCAGAGCCAAAGGCAGGCAACAAACCCAGGCATTCTGACAGGAGACAGCAGCCTCCTAACCGGCAGTTTAGTCATTAAAACAACTTTCCTCATCTATTGCTGAACAATCTTTGAGTTTGGAATTTATGATTCTTTCTTGTTTTTCCTAAGATATCAGTTACCAAAAAATACTGAAAAAGAAAATAATTTAATAATGTAAAGATACTCATACTTCAGGATTACCAAAAACCAAAAAATGTGCTAGGAGAAGGTAACTCTGAGGTTATCTTCCAATGAAGAAAGGAAAATGGTTCAAATATCTTTTAATCAATTATTTCTAAATTATCATTTTAAATGGCATTATTGACTTTTTAAAAAAGATTTTCTTTAGTCATTTGAGAGGTAGTTACAGACAGTGAGAGGGAGACAGAGACAAAGGTCTTCCATTCGCTGGTTTAGTCCACAAACGACCACAACGGCCACCAGAGCTGAACTGACCCGAAGCCAGGAGCCAGAAGCTTCTTCCAGGTCTCCCAGGTGGGTGCAGGGGCCCAAGCACATGGACCATCTTCTACTGCTTTCCCAGGCCATAGTAGAAAGCTGGATCGGAAGAGGAGCAGCCAGGACTAGAACTGGCGCCACAGATGGAGGATTAACCTACTACGCCATAGTGCCAGCCCCTACTACTGCCTTTTGAGAGTCTTCCTGAGTCTTTAAAACTCTACAGTATTCAAGTTATCCTCCAACAAACAAAAACTCATCCATTAGATAATTCTACAAGTATGAAACACTTTTAACATTACATACTACATCACTTACAGAAACTTTTGAAGGTGGTATTATATCCAATGAGTAATCCATTTCCTGTGTATTAAGAGTTCTGAGTGACAGTGAGCATTCTCCAATGGTTTTCTTCCTAGGAGTCTGAGTCTGAATCTTAAATACAAGTCTTACAGTTTGGAGACTTTGGAGTTTAATAGCAAATACAAAAGTTTCCATAAATTCAATAGCCTTAAAAAAAAAGCCAAGAAAACAGAAAATATATAAAGAACGGAACAGGAGGCTGATTTTAATTTTCTTACAACATTTTAAAATGAAAAATAAAATGGCAATGACCATGATTTGTTTTTCCAGAGTTTATTCTGAATATCAGCTTTCTTAATTTCACAAATCACTCTTCTCATTAGGAACCCTGGTTGATATTAACAAGCTCATCAGACTAAAACATTTTCCCTTTTTGAAAATTAGATGTTTTTTCATCCGTAGTTCTAGGGCATTTTTCATGCTATTCATAATTCTTCAACAGTTAATGACAGTGGTTCAAGAATCAAGATTCTCAGTACCCAAAATCCAACTTGTTTAAGTGACGTGAATTATTTCCTAAAAGGGACTATTTTGTCTAACGTTCTTCCTCCACCCAAGACTTCATTTTGTCTTTTGATGATGTGTGTTCCACATTTTCCAGTCTGAAAATCAAATTTCCTGATAGAGGACACAGGAAAGAGTTTTACTTACTTAGTATACCACAAGCTAACACCACCTTGCCACTAGACTGTTCTTTGTTATTCACTCCTTTTTTTTTTTATTTTTTAAAGAATTATTTGAAAGAGTGACAGAGAAGGAAAGATCTTACATCCAGTAGTTCAGTCCCCAAATGGCCACAGTGGCCAGAGCTATGTCAGGCCAGAGCAAGGAGCCAGGAACTCCATCCAGGCCTCCCATATAGGTGGTAGTGGCCCATGCACTTGGGCCATCTTTCGCTGCATTCCCAGGTACTTGGAGCAGGGAGCTGGATCTGAAGTGGAGCACACAGGACTCAAACCAGTACCCATATGGATGCCAGCATCCCAGGTGGAAGCTTGACCCATCATGCCACAACACTGGCCCCTCAATCCCTTCATCTTTCATGCACCCTTTTGCAAAGGAGCTTTCCCTTCAAAAAGGTTAGATATCTGAACAACTAACAAATATTCTGAACACTGTGACCAAATTTTCATGTTACTGTAATTGCAAATGCTTATACAGTCACAATTGTGTTTCTGAGAGTCTGCCAAACACTGACGTTTTTCTTTTAGAGTTTCAAGCCATAGGATAAAATAAGTAATATATTACACATAAAATCTTTAATGATTTTCCAGATTAACCATGTGTACTGGGGGCCAGCACTGTGGTGTAGTAGGCCAAGCCTCCACTTGCAGTGCTAGCATCCCATATGTAATTTTCCTAAGTTCAGTTTTATTTGAAAAATCAAAAAGTAAGGGTGGACATTGTGGTGAAGTGGGTTAAGCTGCTGCTTGGGACATCTGTATCCCATGTGGGGCTGCCTGGCTCAGAACCTGGCTACCCAGCACTTATGATCCAGCTTCCTACAAATGTGTCTGCAAGGTACCAGATGACAACCCAAGAACCTGGGTTCCTATCACCCATGCAGGAGACCCAGATTGAGTTCTGGGTCCTGGCTTTGGCATGGCCCAGACTCAAGCTGTTGGCAGGCATTTATGGAGTGAACCAGTAGAGGGAAGAATCTGTCTCTCCCTCTGTCACTCTACTTTTCAAATATATATTAAAGTAAAATTGTTTAAATCAGAAAGCATTCATCTTCTAGTGTCAGGATTATAACTAGAGTGAAAACATATTTCTAAGCACATGTATTTTCATAAAATGAGATCATGATACACACACATACCAATTTTTATTTCTGCCTTCTTCACTTATTAAGAAGCTTTTTCCATGTCCTTCTAAACTCTTCCTAAACATTATTTTTTCATAACTGCCTAGGATTTTATCATACAGTGTTACGGGTTGAACTGCAGTCCTCAAAAAAACATATTCTGAAGTACTAACCCATAGTACCTCAGAATGTGACCTCATATGGCAACAGGACCATTACACATGTGACTAGTGAAGTTAGAAAACACAATGCTAGAATAGAGGGGACCCCACTTCAGTGTAACCTGTGTCCTTGTGGGAAGACACAGAGACATAGGAGAATGCCCTGAACACAAAAACACAGACCAGAGTGATGTGCCTACAAGCTGAGGATTATTCAAGGATTGCTGGCCTTCACAGAGGCTGGGACGGGGACACGGAACAGTCAGTCTCTCTGAGAAGTAACCAAGAGTTCTGACATCTTGATTTCAGACTTCCTTCAAAACTATGAAAAATAAATTTCTGTTGTTTTAAGCCCCCAACTTATAGTACTTCGTTATGGAAGCCCAAGGAGACTAATACTTATGGGTACACCATCAGGTTTCTCATATTCTGTGAGACATTTAGATCACTTTCAACTTTTCTACTACAAACAAAATAGTCAAGGATATTTTAAATTATTTTTATTAATTTGAGAGAGAGAGAGAGAGAGAGAGGGAGGGAGGGAGAGACAGAGACAGAGACTTTCCATCCACTGGTCCATTCCCTAAATGCCACAACAGCCAGGGCTTTGTCAGGCTGAGCCAGGAACTCAACCTGGGTCTCCCATGCAAGTGGAAAGGACCAAGTACGTCAGCCATCACCTGCTGTCTGCAAGGAAGCACACTGGTAGTAAGCTGGAAACAGCAGCAGAGCCAAGCCTCAAACTCAGGCTCTCTGACATGGGATGCAGGCATTCCAACCAGTGTGTCTCAGTCACCGCACTAAATGCCCACCCTGTCAAGAATGTATACTTCATATACTTGCATGTTTTTGCTCTTGTTTGTATTTTAGATTATTTCCATTGAACAGATGAGTAGAATTACTCTTTAAAAAGTATAAATATTTTCAAGTTTTGCTGTGTATTGTCAAAGCAATTTCCAGAAAGTTGTATGTTCTAGAGTACTTGTAAAATTTTTCCTAATTGTAATGAACGAAAAGAGAGAGAAAGGAGAAAGGGAAAGCAATATGTAATTTCAAGTTACATTTCAATGATTAATAGTGAGAGAAAACTTTTTCATGTTTATTAGTCATCTGAATTATCTTGAAATGATATGTTCCTTCAGAAGATACTCTCTCATTTCTGTAGGAAAACACTAACCTTTTAACCATATCAAAAGATAAAAATGAACAAATACTTAGTATGAAAACTAGAATCTATAAAACCAAACTCATTGGAACTATTTAAAATAAATTAATTGTAATTGTGAAACTATTTTTCAAAATCAAAGTGGGTTGTGGGCATGAGAAGTCAAAAATATAGAAATTTACTTTCCTTTCATATAAAGAAGTTTCTTAGGTATTATTAATGTATATATTTTAGTGTTTAAGATTTTTTTTTACACAAAAATATCACTCCTTCAAAACTGTCTTTAAGAAACAAGGATACATACTTCATAGTTTCCCCAAAATAAAACACTTTCTTATTCTACTTCTTTTCATGGATATGAGATGAATGTGAGAAAAACAGAAATTTCAAATGAAACAGCCACTTACATGTGACCCTTGCTTGACTGATGACTTGAAATGCACTGGTTTGGGTAATGTTAGTGTTCCTTTTACAGAAACAGTCGGGGCTTCTCCACAACTAGAAGGCCAGCTTAAATCTCTGCACTAAAAGAATTAAAAATATAGTTTGCACTTTACTAAGGACTGACAACACAAATGTTTGCTGGATTTCTTGAGTTAGCGGGTTTAGATAAAAACTATAAAAATAAACTTTAGTATACTGAGATTTTCATGTTTAATCTACATTAAAATAAATTTGATACTTAATACTCTAGGCTAAGAGGACACATCAATTTCCTTCCTGATATTAAAAATACACACCCTTCCATTTATTGTCTGTTTTGTTAGAGGCTTTATTAAATATTATTTTCTGCGAAATAACATAGAATCATAAATCCTAAAGATGGTATTGGGCCACTTCTAAGAGGGCAACAGTAGACACTTACAATATCTAAATATCCAATTATGTAATAAAAGTTGGCATTAACCAATGTACCTGTAACACTGTGATCCATATCTGCTCCAGTGAAGAATTATAAAACAATCTCACACTCAGTCTCCCCAGATCTCTTTCATCTCCTGACAGAGTAATTGTATCTGAATCGTAGAGGGACAGAGAGGTGAGAAATGTCCTGCAATGGTTTTAACCCAATGAAGCTTTGCTACAATCTAATTCTAACAGTACAACTGAAAAATGCTACAATTATTTTTCAAAGTTCTTGATTTAATAAGACAAAGACTACAAAGTTTTAATCACAGTACTAGGAGGAAGACATATTATAAAAACCATATGGTTTAAAATTTTAATCCAATTGCTATGTGAGGGATTTAGGATAAAACTAAGAAAAACCTTCCCAAATAACATTCATATGGCCCCTTAGTACTATAAACTTAACTAACATACTTTAAAACAAATAAAAGTTACTTAACTGCTTCAGTGTTTTAAAAATATGCATTTATGTCTCTCACTGAAAAAGGACTATCTGAACTGAGTATCCAATGCTGACAACACTGCTCACATAGATATGAGAGCCTGGAGTTTTGATTTTTTTCTACTTTATCATATATGCTTTCAAATTACTATCAACTAGAAATAATTCCCTTGAGAATATAAAAATAGGATATTTTATTCCTTACCTAGGCTCCTGTTACTGCCTTGAGAATTCTTTCTTGAAGAAGAACTACTGGGTACACTGGATAATGAATCATGTCTCTACAAATAAAATTCTTCCTTAGTCAGAAGTGGCAAATCAAACTTTAAGGATTCTTACACTTAAGCCCCAGTACCCACCCTTGTAACACACTGCATGCTAACCATTTTGACAGCTAGTGGTAGGAATCACTCAAGGGGAAAAAAAAAGCTTTTTGTGTGTGTTATCAGAAAAATCTTAAATATATTACTAGATAATATACCAGGAAACTTCTGTTATTTTTTGTTTGGTCTTGTAATAAGGAGAAAGAAATCACTGCTTTAAGTTTCATACTTAGAACTATTCATGAAAACCAGAAATCTGGATGTGCCCTGTTTATTTTTTTTTTAACTTTTATTTAATGAATATAGATTTCCAAAGTACAGCTTATGGACTACATTGGCTTCCCCCTCCCCCCCGATGACTTCCCTCCCACCCGCAACCCTCCCCTTTCCCGCTCTCTCTCCCCTTCCATTCACATCAAGATTAATTTTCAATTTTCTATATATACAGAAGATCAGTTTAGTATACACTAAGTAAAGATTTCAACAGTTTGCACCCCCATAGAAACACAAAGTGAAATATACTGTTTGAGTACTCGTTATAGCATTAAATCTCAATGTACAGCACATTAAGGACAGAGATCCTACATGAGGAGTAAGTGCACAGTGACTCCTGTTGTTGACTTTACAAATTGACACTCCTGTTTATGATGTGCCCTGTTTATTACTCAAACACCTGTGAAGCAGCATGGTTTACCTGGGAATGTGGCAGAAACATAAACTCAGGCCAACCACAGATAACTGGATCAGAAACTCTGGGGGTAAAGCCTACTACCTGTGTTTTAAAAAGCTCTTTAAATAATCCTGATGTGCATTAAAGAGTTGTTATAAAGAATTAAATCTGCAAAAATATCTCTGGATTACTAAGGATTATTTACAGTACATTTCCATTGTATAAAGCATTCATATATACATTCACATGGAAAAAAACACACAAGTATAAAAATCTACAAGTATTCTAAAACATTTTCACAGTGCTTTTACTCTCACTATAGAAATACGAGTAATTTGCATTTTTAATTTGCTTTTCTCTATGTACTTATTTTAAATAATGTTTATTTGAGCTAAAAAATAAGCATTTTTAAACAATCAAAAAATTCTCACTTCCATTTCAAAAATAGGACACTGTTTTAATATTAGTGAATAATTAAAGTCCTTCATCACCATGGAAACAGTAATTTTAATTAACTAATTACGTTCACTAAGGAAGTTAAATTAATACACACTTGTAACTATACTATTTTAAATCCAACTGCCTCAAGAGTCCTGAGTGCATACCAACAAAGAAATGTAAAAGTCATAAAAACCAAACATAGGCCGGCGCCGCGGCTCAACAGGCTAATCCTCTGCCAAGCGGCACCGGCATGCCGGGTTCTATTTCCAGTCGGGGCGCCGGATTCTGTCCCGGTTGCCCCTCTTCCAGGCCAGCTCTCTGCTGTGGCCCGGGAGTGCAGTGGAGGATGGCCCAAGTGCTTGGGCCCTGCACCCCATGGGAGACCAGGAAAAGCACCCGGTTCCTGGCTTCGGATCACCGCGGCAGCCATTGGAGGGTGAACCAATGGCAAAAAGGAAGACCTTTCTCTCTGTCTCTCTCTCTCACTGTCCACTCTGCCTGTCAAAAAAAATAAATAAATAAAAAAAATAAAAAATAAAAACATAGCCAGCTAAGAGTTTCCCAAAATAATACTAAAAGGAAAGGATGCGTATTGCTTTCCAGATATTAGAATAGATACTTCCATTAAAAAAATGCTCCTAATGTAATTCACACATTTCTGAATTTTTAATTTGAAAGTACATTATCACATATAATTAAATTTATAAAACAAACTTACCTGAAGAAATCGTTGAGAAGAACTTGTAAGATCAAACATAGATCTGCTTAGCCCAGAGGGACTAGGAAGTTTGCTGGCCCTTAAATCACAAACTACAAAGGGAAATAAAAGTACTTATTTTATAGTTCAAGAAAACAAAAACAAAAAACCGGCTGAATTCTATTTGATTCCCATTAACCAAACCTCTATAGAAATATATCATATGTTAGGGGCTGGCACTGTGGCATAGCAGATAAAGCACCGTCTGCTATGCTGGCATCCCATATGGCCACCAGTTTGAGTCCTGGCTGCTCTACTTCTGATCCATCTCTCTGCTATGGCCCGAGAAAGCAGTAGAGGATGGCCCAAGTGCTTGGGCCCCTGTGCCCGGGTGGGAGACCCTGAAGAAGCTCCTGGCTCCTGTTTTCAGATAGGCCCAGCTCCTGCTGTTGAGCTCATCTGGGGAGTAAACCAGTGGATAGAAGACCTCTCTCTCTCTCTCTGCCTCTCTGTAACTCTGAATTTCAAGTAAATAAATAAATCTTTAAAAACAAAAGCAGCTAATTTCAAAAGCTTATCTTCCATTTAAAAAAAAAGAAGTATGGGCAAGCCTATGTAAGAGAAAAGTCTTCTGATGAAATTTTTAAATGTTTTTCAATTACTATTGATTGAAATGATCAGCACAAATCAAACATCTTCATATTCACATCAAATACATGGGTACTTCAAAAAGTTCATGAAAATGTGCATTATGAAAAAAACAGCATAGATGTCAAATTTTTTACACCTATATAAGTGTATGTTTTAATTTAATTTCATAAACACTTTTGGCATCAAAACAAACACATCTTTTAACTCCATTTTCCCACAAACCTTATGAAGTATTCTGACAAATGGTAGACTATCTACAGTATATACAGTCTCAAATATGAAACTAAAAATATTCTATAATCAAATAATTTGTTTTCTTTGTTCATACTTCTAGTCGCCATGGGTTTCTAATTCATTTTCACTGAATTCAGCAGAAAACAAGCTTGCAAATATATCTGTTGTAGAAGTTACAAATAGATGATATGTAAACAATGTGAAAACAAAAATTCATTCAAAAATGAAAAAATGGAATTTGAAACTACCAGACACAACTCATTAATCTTTCAATTTTTATATTAAATATAATACAGAGAAGTCACAATGTTTGTCATAACACATATAAAGCTTGCTTTGCTCTTATTTTTAAACTGTTTTTAATAAGAATCATTTTTTCCAGGGTCTTAAATTTATCTGATATCGAAATTTTTTAAAGAAAAACACAAGAGGAAAAGCACATCCACGTAATTTTTCGCACCTGATCCATACAGTCTCTTGGCTTCCGAGTGGGGAGGAAAGCGCCGACTCAGATCTGGTGAAACGTGCTGATACATGTAGAATGGGTTGTATACATCATAAGTGCCATGCTGACACGAACTGGAAAGCTCTACCTTTCGGTCTCCAAAGGATGCCCTGGCAGATCCTGAAAGCAAGCATTTCTAAAGTTTCACACTGTCCTTTTCTTGGAATTATTAGCCAACAGCTGGCACACTCAAGGCAAAGGGAAAAATTTTTTGTCTTCAAGTAATACTAAATCACATATCTTTGATACCTAAAAAATAATCAGCACACATTTGTGGAATTCGGCTTGGTAATAAATCACTGAGCTGCATATTTCTGTTTTGTGCATTTCTCTCTACGCTTATTATATCTTACAACTTAAAAAGAGCAAAACAATGAATCAAATTCCACTCAAGGTTAATAATCATATTGAGAAAATTATATACATATAAAATAGCATTTTTCAAAAGTATAAATTACTATCACCTTTTAATTTTTTTCCCACTTAAATCTACAATATAAACTGACATTATCTGAATCATGCTCAGCAATTAAAGTCAGTTTTACACTGAGTTCAGAAAATAAAAATAAGATAAAGGGTATGAGGTAAATTTTACTCTTGCCTTGGTTCAAATAACTACACATATAATCTAAGTACAGTACATAGGTAGAAGGGTGCCAAGAATAAATCGTGCTATCAGAGAGTCACTACCTATATATCTTAGAAGCTAATTGTGAAGTCATTTAACACACAAACATTGCTACAAAAAGTCTTTGTGGTAATAAGATAGTACCAATTACTAGTAAGAAATCTTTCATGAGTAGTAGCATCAGAGATAACTCATTACTTTTATAAGCATTACTTAAAAAAGAACATTCTTGTTTCATTTTTCTTTTATATAAATAAGCCATTTAGAGAATTCCCTTCCCCTCAGGCAGTATATGGTGATATCAGTTTTCAAGTTCAGGAGCAATTTCTCTCAATAACTGAACCACAGTTAATGTAAAGTTGCATGATGCCTATGTTTCAAAAGCCAGACTCAAAATGCACACCCTCAGTGGAGCTGTAGGTAAATATGTGATAAAGTACAATAAAAAGCTCATGGTAAAATGCGTCTGTTACCAAAGCACCAAAATGAAGCTGCAATCAGACTCATCAGCAGGAAAAGCAGCAAAACAAATTCCAAATACTTGAAGCACAACTTCAGTCGTTATAAATAATGGTCAGTCTTATCTTCTCAAAGTCTCCTCCCTCTCAGCCCCTCACTCACATACACATACATGCACACAAAGAAATGCAGATTTGACTCTTCTGTTTATATTCAGAGTTCTTTCTTGACTCTAAATGTTCTGACACATGAAACTCAGATGCGTTCACTACATCCTCAGTAAGCCTATGATGATGAAACACTGTAGAACAATTAAAAAGCAATTATCATGGGGTGGGGGTTTGGCAGATTGGTCAGGAGAACAATGGGGAAACCTGCACCCCATATCAAAGTGCTAGGTTTGAATCCTGGCTCTACTCCTGATTCCAACTTCCTGCTAATTGCTCATGTGCATCCTGGGAAGCAGCAAATGATGGCTTAAGTAGTTGGGTTCCCGCTACCTACCTGGGAGACCCGGATTAGGTTCTTGGCTTTGGCCTGACCCAGCCCCAGCTGTAGGAGGCACTGAGGGAGTGAACTCAGGAGTGATGAAAATGCTTCTTATAGGAATGTAACTGAACCTAGAGTCTTGAACATTATATGTCCAGAACACAATCTAAAACTACTCCAAAAACAAAATAAAAAAAGGGGGGGCTGGTGCTGTAGCTCAGCAGGTTAACGCCCTGGCCTGAAGCACCAGCCTCCCATATGGGCGCCGGTTCTAGTCCTGGCTGCTCCTCTTCCAATCCAGCTCTCTGCTGTGGCCTGGGAAAGCATTAGAAGATGGCCTAAGTCCTTGGGCCCCTGTACCGCGTGGGAGACCCGGAAGAAGTTCCTGGCTCCTGGCTTTGGATCAGCGCAGCTCTGGCCATTGCGGCCATCTGGAGAGTGAATCATCGGATGGAAGACCTCTCTCTCTCTCTGCCTCTCCTCTGTGCAACTCTGACTTCCGAATAAATAAATAAATCTTTAAAAAAAAAAAAAAAAACACAAACCAGGAAAATGTGATCCATTATCAAGAAAAACAATTCACAGTATCTAGATGACCTAGATGATGAAATCAGAAAATACTTTAAAAAGTTCAAAGATAGGGACCGGCACTGTGGCATAGCAAGTAAAGCAGCCACCTACAGTGCTGGAGTCCCAGCTGCTCCACTTCCGATCCAGCTCTCTGCCATGGCCTGGGAAAGCAGAAGATGGCCCAAGTCCTTGGGCCCCTGACCCGTGTGGGAGACCCAGAAGAAGCTCCTGGTTTCAGACTGGTGCAGTTCCAGCCATTGTGGCCATCTGGGAAATGAACCAGCAGATGGAAGACCTCTCCTTCTCTCTGCTTCTGCCTCTCTGTGGCTCTGCCTTTCAAATAAATAAATAAATCTTAAAAAAAAGTTCAAAGATATAAAAGAAAACATGCTTTCAATAATATATAAAAACAGGAAATTACATACTTTCAATAATCTAAAAAGAACTAAATGTAAATTCAAGAACTGAAAAATGTAATGTCTAAAATTTTAAAAATTTACTACATAGGCTTAAGAGCTGAAAGGAAATAACAGAGGAAAGAGACACTGAGCTTGAAAACAGATCACTATTATCCAAAGAACAGAGAGTAAAAATCATTTTCAAAAATTCAAGTCTCAGAGACCCATAGAACAATATCAAAGGATCAAACATTGTGTGTGTTAAGCACAGTGGTTATTACAATACCATATCAGTGCCTGGGTTTAAGTCTCAGCTTCACTCCAGATTCCAGGTCTCTAATGTGTACCCTGGAAAGCAGCAGTAATGGCTCAAGTAGATGGGTTCTTGCCACCACATGCGAGGCCTAGAGGGAGAAACCAGCTCCTGACCTCAACTTGACCAAACTCTGGCCTTTGTGGACATTTGGGAAGTGAGTGAACAGATGGAAAAATCACTCTCTGTCCCACTTACTCTCTTTGCTTTTTGAATAAATTAAGTAAATTTTTAAAAGGTCAAATATGTTGTGTAATTGGAGTTCCAAAACAGGAGGAGAGTGAGGATGAAGCAGAAAAAATATATGGACAAATATTCTATATTGTGATAGTGCTTTGGAATACATTCATACATTAATTTGTTAATATTCAACAAATATGCACAAAATTCAATAAACAAACCTTTGGGTAGTTCCCTGTAAGATTTACATTGAAAGAAAACTGTAAGTAGATCACTAAACTCCAGCAGATAATATACAAGGATACTTCTTGTAAAAGCTCATGAAAAATGTGCATTATCTTTTAGTTTCCGTTTTCCATGAATTTTACAAAGTACTTTCATATGATTAAGTATTTAGAGGGAAGTGTACTGGTGTTTTCAATTTAGTCTAAGCTGCATTCCCTCTCCTACCAAAAAACTGAATTACGGACAGAAGAATGGATAGGTGGATAGATATGTGATAAATCAAGAATAGTGAAAATGTACTGAAGAATTGTGTGGTGCACACATAGGTAGTCACTGTTTTGTTTCTTCTACCTTTCTATGTGTTTGAAATTGTTTTAATAAAATTTTTAGGAAAAAAAGTCATTTGGATTATCAGTATTTGAATGGAATAACAGTTTTTTTTTAAGATTTATTTATGTATTTATTTGAAAAGCATTGTCACAGAGGGAGAGAAAGAGAAGACATCTTCCATTTGCTGGTTCCCCCCACAAATGGCTGCAATGGCCAGTACACAGCCAGGCTGAAGCCAGGAGCTTCATCAGGGTCTCCCACGTAGGTGGCAGGGACCCAAGCACTTGGGCCAGCCTCCACTGCTTTGCCAGGTGCATTATCAGGGAGCTGGGTAAGAAGCGGAGCAGCTGGGACACGAACCAGTGCCCACATGGGTTGCCAGCGTCACAGGAAGCAGCTTAATCTGGTACACCACAACACTGGCCCCAACGATCATTGTTTTTAAAAAACAAGAACTATTAGTTCATTGGTCTCTACAACACTTGCCAAACTTCAGCCAATGAATCTACCTTATTCAAGTAGCTATCTGGATTGGGGAATATAGACTGGAGAAGACAGAAGGAAAGGGGGATTACTTGTTTCCTTATTTCTCATTGCACCAGACTTTAGAAAACAGCAGATAAGAAACTATATATTTTCTGTTTATGATCAAATATAGAATAATTCCTTTATTATTTTCTTTCTAGATATGTGAAGGATACCTGAGATATTACATTATTCCTTTTAACAAGGTTAAATCTATACAGAAATGTGTTGCATCATGATCTGATTTCATAATGAGACATTTCAAAAATACTATACATTAAGTCTCTATTGGAAAAAATGAAACATAAAAAGCTAAGTACATAATTTTTATATAAATTCTGTATTAAAGATACAAAGGAGCAAAATAATACGTAAATGCTTTATGTTGACTTGCAATTCTTGGAACTTTGTTTACCTTCAAGGCCTTCTAGATGTGAAAGAGTTCCTTGTGTCCTGGGTTGAATGTAAGATAACTTAAACTTAGGCACTACAAAGGGTACTTCTTTGCCATCAGATGGTAATTTGGAAAGCAAATAATCTTCAGTACAGCCAATCTGAGGCTTTACAGAAACAGAAGTCAACGGAGGTGTACAGATGGTAGTTCTCTGACCGTCTGAAACTGCGGCTTTCAAGTCTCTTTCTCCAGAAACTGTAAATAAAAAAGAAACGAAGATGACACCACAAAGTATATATATATAATAATCTAAGCCTAGAATGTTGTGGCACTTATTTAATCATTTTATAAGAAATTCCTGGAATATGAACTACTCTTTGGTTCTATCAAGCACTCCTAGAATCTACACTTTGTCCAGTTAATGTTTGAGCAATTAATATGTTACTGCCAAAGTACATTAACTTATCATAGTGATTAAAGTAGCTTTTAAGGAGTCTTGTTCCCACACAAGTTACAGATGGAAAATAAATTTATTTTGTAGTTAATTCCACATGCCGTCAAGTAAAATCTAGTTATTTAAAGATACTACCTATAAGGCAATTCCTGTTGTTAGTACTACTGGTTCACACCGAGTTTTAAACATACAAAACAATTCTGTAAAGAAGATAAAGTTCTCCAAGTCTACAAAAATCTCTACCAAATCACAAAATAAAATGCACACTGACCCTAGATATGCAATAGCAACTCACTCTGTCCTGGCTTCTATGACCCATTTTATCCATTATCTGGAATTATATGTGATTTCTAAGTTGCATTACTTTTGATGGGGAGTTAAGGGACACCTGGAATTAATCTTTAAGTACATTTAGTATTATCTGTATTGAATGAAGTAACTACCAGTGTGTAGGAATCTATGAAATGCTTTTATATAAAAAAGAAATGTTCGTATTTATATATACTAGAAACTCTATACGCTCTGCTCTAGACTAAGAAATACAAAAAAGGGTCAGAGAAAAATCATTCCAGTCATAGCCTTAAAAGCTAAGGAAACCATGCATTAGACAGAGACATCTCAGGAGTTCTGGATAAATGTGGGTTTAATAAAGTTATGGGTCTCTTCCCCTTTGGTCATTCATTCATAAAAGACATTTTAAAATGTATTATACATAAATTGGAAATTCTTTATTTTAATCAAAACACTTGTCAGTTACATTCTCACCAAACACACTTCTCTTCTCTCCCTGCCTTTGCTGATACTACGCCATCCATAGGTAATACTCATGTCCAACTCTCACATTTTCTTACTTTCTTCTGTCCCTCCACCTTGCTAAAACCTTGTCCAGACTCCCATGCCATATTTTTATATTTTTATCATTATATCCCTGAGGCATATTTTTATCATGATATCCCTGAGTGCCTCCTGGGTTGAATTCATCCCTCCCCCATCTCCAGGGTACATGGAGTTCTGGATACTTACCTAGTTTGCCTACATTTCCACCTTCCTTATTAAGTTAGAAAACATGCCTAATTTATTTTTCTTTTGCAAAATTCCAAAAACAAAGAAGATTCTAAATAAATGTTTTTTAAAATCAAAACAAAACTCACAGCTGTGCTTTTCTGGTTCGCCATAGAAACATCCTCTACAACAACTCTTTATAAATTCTGTTGCCATTACATTCAATTTCCAATATCCAGCAGAAGGTAAAAACTTCCAATTTTATTATTAACCTATTGACAGAACAGAAAACAAGTTAAACTGATCATGCTTAATGCCCTTAGCGAGATTCAATAAATATATAGCACTGGGGCCAGAGTTGTGGTATAATGGGTTAAGCCACTGCTTGTGATGCCACCATCCCATACAGGCACTGATTTAAGTCCCAGATGCTCCACCCCCAATCCTGTTCCCTGCTAATGTACCTGGAAAAGCAACGAAAGATGGCCCAAGTGCTTGGGCCCTTTCTGGAAGACCTGGATGAAGCTCCTGGCTACTGGCTTCAGCCTTACCCATCCCTGGCTGTTAACGGCCATTTGGGGAGTGAACCAGTAGATGGAAGATCTCTCTGTTTCTCCTCCTAACTCTGCCTTATGAATAAATAAGTAAATCTTAAAAACAAGTCATAGTATCCATCTTTCTAAGACATCATGAGGGCCCTAAGGCAAAAATATTTCTGGGGAAGATAGATCTTTGGTCCCATATATAATTTTCTATAACCTAGGATCACTATAAATTATCAAAATGATATTCTTAAAAATTATAAAACAACCTTAATGTGAAAATCTGAAAAAATAAAAAACCCACTATTAAATTTTTACTTTCACCTGATAGGTCTAAAATCTATGTCTAAGCAAGATGGGAGAGAAAATACAGCACTCATAGAAAGTGTAAGAAAAATTTCACTTCAAGATCAATTATTTTGGTAATCCAAAGTTCTTACAACAGGAGGCAATAAATAACTGAATATTATTTTAATCCTTAGAATTATATTAGCAGAAAGATACATATTTAACCCTGTAACATACAGAGAGAGAGACACTACAAATAAGATAAATACAAATAAAAGGAGTCTTTTATATTTACCACAACCATAAAATTCTAAGAATTTCACATCCAGTTTCCCACCTTAACATCAATGCCTTCATTCCAAATGTACTCTTCATTTATGCTTAAACTCCATACATTTTTTGGGAAAATTTAAACATATGCTTAAGAAAATAGGACAACAAAATCCAAATCTTTCAGATTAAATATTATCAAGCTCACAGCAAGTTTGATTTCATCTCTACTTCCCCAATTACCCTGTTCTTTGGATTATTTTGAAATAAATTCCAATCACATAGTTTCATCCACAAATAGTTGAGTAATAATCTCTAAAAGACATGGCAGAGAACACAGGAGTTAACTCTGACAAGCTCTCAATGGCTGAAGATCACTTAGAGCATTACACATAATATCTGTACAAAGGAAAATATTTTGCCAGCTTCAAAGCATATACAGCTCTATTTTCTTTATATGCAAGTAACTGACGTATTTTCAAAATATGTTGCTTTGGGGCACAGAGAAGAGCTTTATGAGAGATATAAGCATGAGTGGTACTGAAAAACAGTGGGCAGGTTTTAAATGAGACACATGATGTTCACAACCACCCAATTCACTACCTTCCTGAAGATCACTGTCCGCCCATCTAAAGTTAGCGGTCTGGTCATTCATGGTTTAACTGGTTCACAAATGATTCACCAACATTCGATACACATCAAAAGTAGAAGGTCTTGTCATTTCCTATCATATGAAAAATAATTCAAGTTTTCCTTTGTACAGCACTTCTATTTTCCTCTAATTATGTGTTTAGGAATAGTGCTCATGGGATATCATTGCCATAATGCAGGTAACAGCTTCTGAGTATTTCTTGTACCCTGTGTGGAAAGCTTTCTTTTTAGGTGTGACTCTATCAATCGAATCTGGTTTGGCAAGTCCACCCAAGTCATAATTTGTATTTAAGAAGCATGGGGCCGGTGCTGTGGCGCAGTGGGTTAACTCCCTGGCTTGAAGCACCGGCATCCCATGTGGGCACCAGTTCAAGTCTCAGCTGCTCCACTTCCAATCCAGCTCTCTTCTATGGCCTGGGAAAGCAGTGGAGGATAGCCCAAGTCCTTAGGCCCCTGCACCCGAGTGGGAGACCCGGAGGAAGCTCCTGGCTCCTGGCTTCAGATCGGCACAGCTCTGGCCATTGCAGCCAATTGGAGAGTGAACCATCAGATGGAAGCCCTCTCTCTCTCTCCCTCTCCTCTGTGTAACTCTTTCAAATAAATAAATAAATAAATAAATTTTTTTAAAAAGCATGCATGTTTACTTATTTGTATCATTTAATATCCATAAATGTGTATATATCAATAATCAGTTGGGCAATAGAATTCTAAGTCAGAAATTCTGATGGCAAAGATATTTTAAAACACTTTGAGGGGAATGAAAAATATTGATGCCCTGTCTAGCATTGTTCATAAAATACTCATATCTCCTTTCTGTAAACGATGTCAGCCTCAAATAATTTTAAGCTCTTGTGCTCAAACCAATCATTAATTGACAGCCGGACCAGCAGTTAATAAGTCTCTGGTACTGATAATATAGCTTGGAAGATGATTCTGAATGACTACTCTAGAGTGAAACTGAAAGAAAAAATATAGTTCTATTTCTGAATGTATTGACTAGCTTCCTGATAACAACTTGAGGACATTCAGAGCTGTAAAGCTAAATGTCTAAAAGCAGTAAATAACTGCTATGTGTTATGCTGGCTTTGGAGTAATAGTTCTAACCATATATGATATGGGGTTGAATTTTGTCCTGAGTTAATACACACTTGTACAAGATATACAGAACATGTTGACATGCCCAAGACTGAATCACATCTCTCCTATATGTTCATTTATACACTGCTTTTTCTTAACATTTAGATTTCTTTGGTTACCATGTTTATGTATTTTGGAGAATAAAAATTTCTTAGATGTATGACTGGGTAGACCTTAAAACAACTAAGAGAAGCATAAAACGTGGATAGCTGTCTATCTGTGTTCACTGTTAAAATCTGAGTTAACCTTATGGTGCTGTACTGCTCTCTAAAGAAATGCTGTTATGTAGCCCCAGCTTACTTCTTAGAGCTTGCTTATTTTGCTTTTATATATTTAATAAAAATTGTCTCAAGTGTTAAAAAATACATATCTGTAAATACATTACAACATATCAAATATTTCTAAAGGTATACATAAGAACATAATCATAATAGTACTACCACATATAAAAACGCTACTAACTTTCCAGCTGGTGTTCAAATTTCCCCTATTGTCCTAACATTTTTTAATCGTTGTTTCATTGAAATCAAGACCAAAATCTGGTTTTGTGGTTTTTGTTTTTGCTGTTAAAAACAGTAACTCTTAGAAACCATAGCTCTGGGGCCAGCACTGTGGTGGAGCTGGTAAAGCTGCTGCCTGCAGTGCCAGCATCCCATGGGGGCACCAGTTCAAGACCCACTTCTGATCCAGCTCTCTGCTATGGCCTGGGAAAGCAGAAGATGACCCAAGTGCTTGGGCCCCTGCACCTGTGTGGGAGACCCAGAAGAAGCTCTTGGCTCCTGGCTCCGGATCAGCGCAGCTCCAGCTGTTGCAGCCAACTGAGGAGTAAACCAGTGGATGGAAGCACAACTTCATGCATATATATGAAGAGCCACTGAATTAAATACATTAAAGAGGTATTACGGTATGTGAATTATACATAAAAATTATATCTAAAAAATTTATATGTAAAATTATATCTAAAAATTTGCTTTGCCCTTTCCTTTATAAAAAATTTATTTTCATTCATTTGATAGGCAGAGCAAAAGAGAAAGGGAGACAAAGAGAGATCTTCCATCTGCTGGTTCACTTCCCAAATGTCCTCAACAACTGGGGCTGAGGCAGGTGGAAGTCAGGAGCCAGGAATTCCGTTTGTCTCCCACGTGGTTGCCAGAATACAAGCACCTGAGACATCATTTGCTGCCTGTCTTGGTGTGCATTACCAGGAAGTTGAACCAGAAGTGGGGGCTTGACTTCAACCCAGGCAATCGGAGTCCCAGGTGGCAGCTTCATCAGGTGCACCACAATGGCTGCCTCCCCACCCAGCCCCCCCCCCAAAAGATTCACATCTTGAAATTTGTTTAGACCACCAAGGTGATACTGGACTCCCCACCCTGCCAGTCTGCTTGGTGGCTGTAACTTTCCAAGGATAGGCTTTTCTCTCCATTTTATTTGGCACAGAGGCCATTTTCCTTGCAGTCCCTTGAAGGAAGCAGAGTGAACTTTCAATACAGCACAGCCTTTTGGGATCCCAGAATTAGATACAGAAAGTCTCTTGTTACCTTGAATGAGCCTTGGGCTGACTTTCGACTATCCCTAGATTGCCACAAATTCACCAAATATCTAGTTAAATCTATCAAGTCTCCCTGTTTAGTAAATACCCTTGAAGCAAATAAGACTTAAGAATTCTTTTCTCGTATTTTCAGCTTTACCTTAGGTTTTGGCATGTTAATTCCGAACTTTTTAAATTGTTTCTGAAATACAGCATTCTTAGCTTTTTCAATGTAAGCTGTTTTCAGTGTAACTTACTATATTCCTCAAATGAAAATTCCATATTTACTTTTTAAGTTAAAAAGAACTTTAGTGAGTTAGGACAAGATTTGCAAAAACTAAAGTCAGACAGTTACATCAGAGTAGCTTCAGTATTATTTGCGACCTCAGGTAATTATAGCACGTATCAAAGAATTGAATAACATTATACTCCAAGTAAAGGTTCTTTAAAAAATATATTTATTTGTTTATTTAAGAGGCAGAGTTACAGAGCGAGGAAGAGACAGAGGGGTCCTCCACCCGCTGTTTCACTCCCAAAATGGCTGGGCTGATCTGGAGCCAGGAGCTTCTTCTGGGTCTCTCATCTGGGTACAAGGGCCCAAGCACTAGGGCCACCTTTCACTGCTTTCCAAGGCCATTAGCAGGGAACTGGATCTGAAGTGGTGCAGCTGGGACTTGAACCGGCATTCATATGGAATGTCAGTGCCACAGGCACAGGTTTAACCTACTATGCCAAAGCACCAGCCTCTCAAGGTTCTTTATACATTGGACTGTGATAATGATAAACAGGTAAAAAAAAATAACCCTGAAATGTATCCAGTTACAGAGACACTTGACATATGATACTTACAGATTTATGGAATGGAAAACAGAATATTCAATAAATTTGCTGGGAAAATTTGATTACTCATGTGGAAAAAAGAAACAAAGCTAGATCATAACATCACACCACACAAAAATTTTTTTATAAAAACTTCTTCATGGATTAAATATATAAATATGAAAGACACACTACTCACTGAGAAAGAGATATCTGCTACCTGCATAAGTGACAAGGGATTAATATCCATAATATATGAAGAACTTCTAGAAATCAATGTTTGAAAGACAAAAATTATAGGAAAAAGAGATTTTTCACAGAAAAAGAACTATATAAGATTCAACATCATCAGTTAAGGAAATATAAATTAAATCCTCAATGGGATAAAATTTCTCACCCACCAAATTGTCAAGATGAAACAATTCAAGCATTCAGACATGTACAAGTGTCCTAACTGTTGTTGAAAAAAGGAACAAAATGAGCACCTGTACACTGCTTGTGAAGGTACAAGCCAGTATAATCGCTTCACGAAGCAATTCAGTATTATCTAAAAAAAATTGATTAACGAAAGGCCTAGGAAATCCTAGCACACAGACACAGAGACATGGATTAGAATGATAAAAACCAAACAGCTTTTAATAGCAAAAAGCAAAAAAAAATTTTAAAAGACTGAAAATACCCTAAATATCCATCAAAACAATAGACAAACAGTAGGAAAGTCACAGAATGGAAAAACAAATTATAACACATCAACTAGGAGAAATATGGGGCTGGTGTTGTGGTTTAGCAGGTAGTGGGTGCCAGTTTGATTCCTGGCTGCTCCACTTGCGACTCAGTTCCCTGCTTGTGTGTCTAGGAAAGCAGAAGATGGCCTAAGTGCTTGGGTCCCTGCACCCACAGGGGAGACCTGGATGAAGCTCCTGGCTTCAAGCCTAGCCCAGTCCCGACTGTTGCAGCTCTCTGGGGGAGTGAACCAGTGGATAGACGATGTCTCCCCCTGTCTCTTCCATCCTCTAACTCTGTCTTTAAAAAAAAAAAAAAGATTTACCTATTTGAAAGGAGAAATATCATAAATTAGTAATGTGCAAAAAAGTCACAGAAGTCATATACTTATATTTACACATTCCAAAATAGATAAAACTAAACAATACATTGTTTAGGAGTGTTTACATGTGTGGTAATAAACAGAAAATCAAGAAAGTGGAAAGAGAAATATAGAATCAAGGAGAATATATACAGAGAAGCTTCAAAAATGTTATGCATTATTTCTCAAACATGAGCTGGGTACAGAGATTTTTTTTTTGTATTCTGTAAATCTGTAGATATATCAGAAGCACTGTCTTGCACATAAAAATTAAGGAAACACATGGTTGAGGTAGAAAAGATGAAAAACAAAGAAAACTACATGAAGAAAATAAAAATTACCCATAATCTCATTACATAACCTAACTATAGAATTTAAAGGGGTTAAATATACTTAAATGTTGAGTTTCTCCCAATAAGTACATCCTTAAAATGTACAACTAAATGAGCCTGACATCTGCACGCACTGGGGAAAGCATTCATCACAGCGAAGGAAATGAACATGTCCACCATCCTCCACATCTTCTCTTGCCCCTTTTAAATTCATTCCTCTCTACATTTCCTCATTCCATTCCCAAGCAACCACTAATGAGGTTTTTGTCACATTTGTTTGCATTTTCTGTAATTCTATTGAGTATATATTTGGGCATAGTTTATGTATGTTTCATCTTAATAGATATGGCCAAAAAGTTTTCCAAAATGCACCAACTTATACTCCACCAGCAAAGTATGAAAGTTCCAGTCTCTCCACATCTTCATTAATGCTTTAATCATTCTATTCATATTCCAAAGGCAAATACTCACTAAACTACTTGTCTGAACTGTAGAATAAAAAAAATTAAACTTTCAATAAAGACTGAAGTAGAACTCAAATTTTAAACTAAGATCATTTTCCCTCGAATGTATAATAATGAAAGCAAAGGCCCCAACAGATGTATTCCTTGACACTGAGTTAGTGAAAATGCCCGACTTACCTCTACGATTTTAAGAATCACTGAGCCGTACATGAAAGAATCGCATGACTGAAAGCAAGTGCAGACTATGAACGTACTGGAACACAGGTGAAACACAGCCCAGCAGTTTGTACGTGTGATGTGAACACTGATAACACCTGAACCCAACACACCAAACGACCACTAGAATAAGTATTTGCAGTTTGAATGGAGGGAGATGAAAGATTTTATTATCAACAGTTCACTATGTTCAACTTTCTCTCAGTTCCTGCTACTGAACCCTGAGAGAGGAGCATTTGCAGAGTCAAAATAATGTTTCTCAAAATAAGGATTCTACACACCTTCTCGCCGCTTCTTCCAGGCACACTTCAAATCCAGCTTTTGCCATTTAAGTTTGCTGAGGTCATTAATCACCTCCTAACTATCCAAAGTCAATAGGCGCTTCATCAGTTCCTAACTTCCTGATCCCACTGCCTCATTTGGCTCCTAGACAGACTTTTCTCCTCATTAAAACTCCCCCACTCTCCTCCAGACCAGCACTGTAGCACAGTGGGTTAAACCACCTCTTGCGATGATGGCATCCCATATCCCATACCGGAGAGTGAGGTTCAGTCCTGGTTGTTCGGTTTCTGACCCAGCTCCTTTTTACTGCACCTAAGAAGGCAGACAACGGCCCAAGTAGGAGACAATGACTCCACGTAGGAGTCTCAGATGGAGTTCTTGCTCCTGGCTTCAGTCTGGCCCAGTCCTGACTTCCGCGACCATTTGGAGAATGAACCAGCAGATGTAAATCAATTTCTCTCTGTCTCTGTCTCTCTCTCTACCTTTCAAATAACTAAATCTTTAAAACAAAGCAAAACTAAAAAGCAAACTCTTTCCTCTCCTACCTTCTGCAAAGCCACCGTCCCCTAGTCTTCCTCTTTCTGGACCGTTCCTCCTTGGTCTCCAGCGCTGTCTGTACCCCTCACTTAATACTGGCATTTCCATCCCAGTTCTTCTTCTGTACTTTTACACCCCAACAGGATTAACTATCACAAATCCACTGCTGCTTCCAACCTCTATAACTGAAATTAACTTCAGAAAAACCAGATACCAGTATTTTTAACTGCCAACTAGACAGCACTGCCAGATGTCCTACAAAATTTTCCAACTCCTTTTCTCTCAACCTGAATTAATCTCTCAGCTTATTAGTTTTATTCATAAATACACCACAACTATTCAGCTGAAGCCAATAAAATACAAGGCATACTCGAAAAATTTTTCTCGAAGAGCTAAATAGGATGAACTTTTACTAAGGTTCTTTCCCCACCATATGAAGTAACTCAAATTAATTAGCAAAAACGATAAAGCACAGCACAGGTGATAAAAGGCAAACTGTCCAGGCTTCTAGCTCTCAAAGGCAAGCAAAAGGAACACTTCCTCCTAGAAAACCTAAATTTTAACCGCGAAGTCGCCTATCAACATATTAAACGGGTAAACAGGATTTTATTGTTGTTCTTATTAATTCACAATATTTTCCAGGCCTACTTTTTAAAAGTCGGCATTAATTAGGAAAAGCACAACACTAGGACCTGCCTCTTGGAGTGAGAATCAGAATAGTGTTGTAACTACAAAAGCAATCCCACTACACACCATATTTTAACCATTCTAAAGGCATCGAGGCCTTTGGCTTGGCACCCGCCCCATCTCTGTCCGGACGTCCTATCGGGGTGCCATGCGCCCCACAACTCATCCATGGTCTCCTCCTACGAGGGAAACCACAGCTGAGAAGCGCGGGACCTGGAAGTCGGATCCCAAACCTGGCTGACCGGACGGCAGTTTGCAAACACCTGAGCAAGGTGACACCTTGACACCCCTTCGCCAACGCACAGCGCCTCAAATACCCCGGATGACAACCCTGGGCTTCAGCTGCTCGCGCCGGACCTCGCGGGGAGCGGGATCCGCGTGCCTTCCCGGGACCGCAGCCCCCCGCGGGCCGGGGCAGGGGGCGCGCGCAGCCTCACCCGCGAGCCTGGGGCCGCCCCTCTCTCCGGTCGGGGGTCCCGCCCTCGCCCCCCGCCCCTCCAGGCTCCCCGGGGAGCCGTCGCGGGCCCTAACCCTCCCTCAGGCCTCGGCCAGGCGGGTGTCTGAGGAGACCCCAGACCCGGGGCGACATCTGAAGGAGCGAGTCACAGACGACGACGGACGCACAAACACGCGCGCGCGCGCGAAAGCGGGTGCTCCACGGCCACGCGGCGCGGCGGCCGGGGGCCAGGAGGGCTCTGCCCCACCCGCCCGCCACGCACCTCTCAGGACCCGGCCGGCGGCGTCCCGAGGCGCGAGGGCGCCCCACGCGCGGCCCTCCCGGGCCCTCCCCAGCCCTCTCCCGCGCTGAGGCTGCGCCTGGCGGCCGCGGCCGCGTACCTGCTCCGGGCAGCGGGCGCTCTGCCTCGGCCACGGGCGGCCACGCCGACTCCGCGAGCTCCCGCGCCGCGCCCCGCGCCCCGCGCGGTCCCCGGGCAGCCCCGCCCAGCCCGGCGGGAGGTGCGCGCGAGGGGCGGGGCCGCCGCCTACCTGAGCGCGCTGCGCCTGCGCCCTCGGGACAGGTGGCGCGGAGCGCGTCGCACCTGCGGCGGGCTGGGGGCTCCGGAGGGACAGCGCAGGTAGCAGAAAGCCGCTGGCCTGGTGAAGGTGCCTCAACCGAAGACGGAGGCGTGGTCTTTCCTGCCGGAGACGTGCCGACGTTTTTTTCTTACAGGTGGAGAAGTGTGGCTACTTGACTTTTAGTCTTTTTATAGGAAGTCTGACTGTGAAGTTGGAGGATCAGCCCGAGTCTCCTCACTTGGTTGCCTGACACCTGCTCCCACCACCTTGCTGTCAGTGAGTGCCTTGGAAGGAATATTCAAGGTGTCCACCACCGCGCCTTGCGCCCTAGCCCCTTATCCCTGCCGCCAACCCTGGTAAGGGATTTGTGACCCCTTTAAAAAAAAAAAGGTACTTCCGGTTCTGGAAATCTCAACACTGTGCTTGCAAAGCAGCTGGGTGAATTTCCAGATTATCTCTTGAACGGCTCGTCTTTGAAGAGGCTGATAGATTGTCCATCGGAGTGAAGGTTAATGTTTTTCTTTCTGCAGAGCCATCTTTCCTAAAGTGAGTTCGCACAATCCCCAGGCTCTGGGGATGCTGGAGTGAGGGTGGAGGTGCACCCCAAAGTCACATGAATCTGGGGACAGAGGCACAGTATAATTGCCTTCCCTAAGACCCACAGATCCAAGAACCATGCTTTACTGTGTTTAATCCTACGTCTCCCAGATTTGATCCTGGAGCTCTCTTCTTGAGAAATGCCCGTCACAATCCTTGGATGTGAGTGTTTCAGCAAACACTTGAAATTCCCAGTGCGTTCACCTTCAATAATTTATCACCAATGTTTGCACAGTTCTGTGCTGTTTACACAAAGCTTTCATATGAGTCATTTAATCCTGGCAACCCCAATGTAGCTGTTGTTTTCCTCACTTTAGAATTGAAAACTAAGGGTCAACCAACCACCGGTGGCTATATGTGAGTGTATATGTATTTATACACATCCATACACAGAGAGAGAGAGAGACATCTTAAGAAATTGTAATGACTTTTGTGTATACTATATATTTGGCACTATATGTCTCTGTCTCATTTGACCTTTAAGTAGAGCATGTTATTGGTTAGAAACTTCCAGATTCATGTGTCGGTTGAAGCCCTGGAGGATGAGGACAAGACCATATCTCTACCTATGTTTTACCCCTCAGCAGCACCCAACATGGTGTAGGGCACAAAAGTGTCACTCAGATGTGCTCACTGAAGAATGAATGAATGCCCAAATGCTCAGTGACTATGGACTGACCTGGGCTGAGTCCTTGGTTCCCTAAGTGAACAATTTTAACAACCTCTTAAGAGCAGGCAACAAGTGTTGTGGCACGGGGTGGGGTTGGGGGGTTAAACCACCAGTTGGGATAACCACATTCCATATTGGAGTACCTGGGATAGAGTCCCACTTCTGGTCCAGCTTCCTGCTAATATACACCCTGGTAGGCACCAGACCTGGCTCCTGGCTCCTGCCTATGACCTGGCCCAGCTCCAGCCATTGTGGACATTTGGGGAGTGAACCAGCAGATCAAAGTTCTCCCTCTCTCTCTCTTTCCCTCCCTCTCTCCCCCACCCCGTCTCTTTCTCCCTCCAATACCCCCATTGCTCTGCCTTTCAAATAAATAATAAGCTTTTAAAAATACATTAAAGAAGAAATTCCAAGAACAGACACTCCTGGAGTTGTTTCTCATTTTCTTCCACAGTCCATCTGAAAAAGCTTTCTCAGAAGAATCCGCTCTGTTGACAGACACAGTTCTTGCAAAATCATGGAATCACTTCCTTTGTTTTCCTTGAGACGGGCCTCCTTCCTGTTCGACTCTCAGAAGTAAGGCTACCATTGAGAAGAATGAAGGACATTTCATACCTTTCTTTGTGCTCTTGTGTTTCACCTCTTCCCATAAAAGGATCATTGTAGTAACACGAGTGAGCTTTTGTCTCTTTAATGTTACCAATATTATATTATTTGAGGCAGATCTGGGGGAAATATATTTTGGTTGATGTAGCACACTGCTTAGATTTTAATATATGGTGATTCTTTTCAATTGATAAGAGACAACTCAGTAATCCTGATTCCTGATTTCCATGCATTCTTTCTTCATTTAATGCAATGCTTTGTGACTCAACCCAGGCCTGCCCCTCCAGTATCAACTCCACTACCCACCACTACACGTTTTTGACCACCTAAACTAATTGCAGTTCCCCAAATTGTTAAATTTTTACATGTTCCCTTTACCTCTCTCCCGTGGGCATCCACTGGCAAACTTGTATTCATGCAGCTGATGGATCATCTTTCTTGGGAAATGAAACCCCCCCATGCCCATCCCTGATTAAAACAGATAACCTTTCTTGGTGGTCTCACTCCAGTCCACCCCCACCCTTATCATAGCACCCACACAAAAGTTGTGACTATTGGTTTCTTTTCCTTCTTCCTACTAAACTCATTCTATGTGAGTTACCACTGGCAGGAATTATGACTTGCACCTCTATTTCCTGGGTTCATAGTATAGCAGCTGATACATGCACTCAGATATTTGTTCAATGAATGAAAACCTATCTTCAAAAGAACATGCGCTTTTAGAATGCTTGTGAAATAATTTCACAAATATAAATGGTCATATGAATACAAAGGGGGTGGCAGAGTTCTACTTTCTCCCAAATGTTTTCTCTCCTGCTCTCTGCCTTAGAAGAACATAATGCCAAAAGTCTAGACATAGCCATTCATTCATTCATTCATTCGCTTGTTTACTTGTTGAACATTATTTTTGTTTGTGAGTGTCCCCAATTTTTTTTTTTTACAGGCAGAGTAGACAGTGAGTGAGAGAGAGAGAGAGAGAGAGAGAGAGAGAGAGAGAGAAAGGTCTTCCTTTTGCCATTGGTTCACCCTCCAATGGCCGCCGCCGTGGCCGGTGCACTGCGGCTGGCGCACTGCGCCTATCAGAAGGCAGGAGCCAGGTGCTTCTCCTGGTCTCCCGTGGGGTGCAGGGTCCAAGCACTTGGGCCATCCTCCACTGCACTCCCTGGCCACAGCAGAGAGATGGCCTGGAAGAGGGGCAACCGGGACAGAATCCAGTGCCCCGACTGGGACTAGAACCTGGTGTGCCGGCGCCGCTAGGCAGAGGATTAGCCTATTGAGCCGCGGCGCCGGCCATGAGTGTCCCCAATTTAACAGGTGCAGTCCTGGGCACTTGCTTCAGAAACTGACAACAGTGTCATGGATGCTCTCACTGAAAATCAATCCCTATTCTTGGGTGCACAACTAGAGTGATTTACCCATTTCTCTTGCATCTAGGTAAGGCCTTGTGACCAGTTCTGGACAATGGGATTTGAGCAGAAAAAGATTTCTAGATCTGGGCAACCAAAAACAGGTGGACTTTCACTCTCTTTTCTCCCTCTTCCCATTCTTAGACAACCTTGGGAGATGATGAAACCATGCCAAAGCTGACTGCACAGTGAGATAAGCCTGTGTCCTGGATTGACTTCATGGAACAAGGTTCTCCCTGCAGCCTACTATCCTTGGTTAGAGTATGATGTGAGTGGAAAATAAAATTTATTCTGTGAACCACTAATGTTTGGGAATTTTTTCCCCAGCAGTTAGCTACTTACTTGGATGAGCACCATTGTGAATGATGATACATAGATTCCATAAAACATACAGAGAATGTTGTTTCCTGCCATAGGCATTGTTTGAAAAACATGGACCATGAAAAATGTCACACTGAGTATTAGGGTCATAAAAACTTTGTCCCAAGTGGATACAGAAAAATCTTCATGAATGCCCAGATCTTTGTTCTGCATCTGATCAGAATGCTGACCTAAAGGCAAGTGTTGCATCACCCTCACATTATCTTCATCAGCCTTTCTCAGTCTCAGTCTCTTTTGGGCATTTTGAAGGATTTCCCTGAAGGGGGTTGGGGAAGGCCAGAGTTACTCAAAACCATGCGAATGTTAGGAAGTGATAAAGGGTAGGAGTGAGCAGGTGAGAACTGAAGGGCCTGGAAAAGCTTACTGAGGACTTGGTACACTAATCTACAGGAGGCACAATTAATATGCTGGGAACTGTGATGGGATGAGTTTCTTTCCTGGGTAGCTGGTACCCAATAAAATAAGGTGGCGATGGGGCAATAGCTGAGTGTAGATGCTTTACTAAGGGACCTAAAC